CAGGCTGCAGAGAGAATGCTGGGGGGGCAGTCCAGGCTGCAAAGAGAATGCTGGGGGGGAGCCCCCAAAGCTTCACTCACCAGACAATCTGCAGTTCACAGGGAGAGGGGCACTGCAGGAGGGGACAGCCCTCCCAAGCCTCAACACCCCTGACAGTCTGCAGACTCTTGGAGGGCCATTGGAAGGGGTGGCAGAACCTGGTTCTCCCCCCACCGCCAACAGCCTTCAGACCACAGGAGGAGGGGAGAAACTGGCAGGGGAGCACTGCTCCAGCCCCCTGGAAGGACTTACTGGCAGAGCAGAGCCACCCTTTCCACGATGGGTGGCTCCGGTAAGCCTCTCCCCATACTGAGCTCCCTGCCCTGAGTCCTGAATCTTGCACCTGCCTTGACTTCTGCATCCCTCCCCTGCCCTGAGACCCTGCATCTCTCATGCCCTGCCTTTAGTCCCCCACATTAGAGCAGAAGGCTGGGAAAGCCACCCATCCCCTGCTCCTCCTGACCCCCAAACTCTCACTCCACCCTTCATTTTCCTTCATTTTTTAAAAATACAGTCATTGCAATAAAACATGTATATTTTTCATTTATTAAAAACAAATCAGATGAAGACCCAAGCAATGCTGGATACAGTACATCTGCTAGTAGGGGTATCACCGGAGATCATTTAACCCTTAGGGGCAATGTAATGTAAAAATGTGTATGAACTACATTACAATATAAATACTCAGATTTTAATTTAAAAACCTAAACCTGCATATAAGGAGGAATTATACAATGCATTTTCCCATAATTGACCCTCAACGGAACAGTCTTTAATTCAATGGTTCAACTTTTTTCCACTCCACTGATCAGTTGTTAAAAGGATTCTACCAGGCCCCACATATTCTCTCCCTACCTCTATGAATTAGCATCTGAGGGTTTCACTTTACAGACCAAAAGAAGGTGCTCCATGGCCCAGTTTAGAAGAGACACTATATAACAGGGGTCAGCAACCTATGGCTCACAAACCAAACGTGGTTCTCTAGGGAGCTAAATATGGCTCTTCTGGAGCCCCAGCTCAGCTCCCATTTACTGCCCCCGCAGCAGGAAGCCAGCTCAGTCACTGCAGCCTTACGGCCCCCACAAAACTGGAATGCCAGTGGCAGAGGGAAGCCCCAACACTCCCCCCTAGATCTGGCATGCAGGGAACAAGCAGAGCTAACCATGACTTGGCGCAACAGCATTTTCCTTCCCCCAGGCGTGGTGGAAACCAGGAACCAAAAATGGCTCCCTGCATACTGCTAATTTGTTTCCTCAGGACACACTTCCTACAGGCATCCCCTGCCAACCCTTCCCAGAGGCTTCCTGCCAGCGAATGAGAACAGCAGGAGGTGTATTACACATCGGCTGCTAGTGTGAAAACAAATGGGTGCCCCCCAATCCCTTCATGCCCAGACTCCTCACCCCCTCACTCACTCTCCCAGCCAGACAGCCTGCCCTCAGCCCCCTGGCCAGGCAACCCTCTGCCCCCTGGCCAAAATCCCCCCAGTCCCCTGGCCAGTCAACCTGCCCTCTGCCCCAAATCCCTCCTGGACAGACACTCCTTGCCCCCAGCCCAAAATCCCCCCTGCCCTCTGCCCCATAGCCAGGCAGCCTTGTTCATCAGGCAGCTAGCTCCCAACCCACTCCTGCCCCCTGGCCAGACCTAGCACCCTCACCCCCTCCTATACTCCACCTCCTGCCCAGATCTTGCACTCCCATTCCTATGCCATTCACCGGCAGCCCTGTCCTACACACTTAATGTCTCATTTTTGGCCCCAACCCAGAGCCTAGATTGGTTCACACAATCCACTAATCCTGGAACCTCAGAAGAGTAAATCCGGCCTGAGGCCTTGAACATCAGTCCTCCCTGCCTCTCCCACCACTATGGGGCTGGAGCACCAGAGAAGTGAGGTATCTCAGTTGGGGGTCACATCAGTGAGGGCTGGGGGGGGGGGGGGGGGGGGGGTGTTTTGTTTGGTTTTTTGCTTCTCACTTATGTGGGCCCCAACTGATTTCCTGTGGGTTAGTGGCCCCCAACCCAAAAAAGGTTCCCCACCCTCGCCATAAATAAAGACAGTGTTGAAACTTTTTGCATTGGACATAATATTTTACTTTATTTAAAAATGAATCCTAGCCAACAAAGCCCCCAATTGGGGCCCAGCTCCCTTCGGGCTGCAGCATGATAACACTATTGAACCCCCTCACACACTAACCCTGAGACCATCATACATGAACCCCCTGCCCTGAGCTCCAAATCCCCAAACTATGGTACCCCCACATCTCCAGCACCATGCCATAACACTCCTGCACCCCCACACACCCCAAGCTTGTGCCCTGAGTCCATCATATACACCAATCTCCTGCCCTGAGCCCCTCATACATCCCAACCCAGACTCCTGCATTCCTACATCACTAGCCCCCTGCCATAAAGACAGAAGACAGCCAGAAAGCTGGATTTGACTAGTTACGATGTAAACTTCAAAGAACTGTGCAAAGAGATGCAGCAACAGAAGTCCCATTATATAAGGTCTGTGAGTTCGTTTCATTTGTGCTATCATAAATCATGTCAATTATCAATAATATTAAGTTGTATATTTTCAGTTATGCAAATGGGCATTCTTATACAGCTCTTTGTTGACCACATGTTCTGAAGTTTGATGTAGTTTGGCTCTTTGGTTTGAAAAGGTTGCCTACTCCTGCTATATAACATAATTCATTAACATTTAATCTACTATATTTGATAACTGACTGGCAGATTTCCTTGTTTATGTTTTTTTTTTTACAGCCTGAATGCTCTTTGTCTAGATTACACATGTACATCATGCAGAGAAGTATATGAGGGATGCCAAAAAAAGGTGAAATTAAACTACACAATCCCTAAATATTGGGGTAGAGAAGAAAAGGGAAACAACTTTTACTAAAAAAATAATAATTACACAATCTAACAACTAGCTAACATGTTTTGACTAATTAGCAACTGGCGCAACACTTTCACATATCAGCTACGGAATATAAAATCCCATTTAACTGGTTAACTGATTAAATGGAGGGTGGGGGCTAGAACATTTGCAGCATGCCTGCGTTGGACAGGGGCTGCTCTGGCTGGGCTGAAGCACCCCGCATCATGCCCTGTGAGACTTGAGCAGCTCTCTGCCCATGGTGGGTGGGGAGCTACTTCAGCCCCCGCCAGTTAACCAGAACCAGTAAGCATCACCTGTTAAAGTTAACCTTTCCCATCCCTAGTATCAGCATACTTCATTAGTTTTTTTTCTCGTGTGCATTTAAGAATATTTTCTCCATTTTGCCACTCAAACCCCTGAAGCAGTAAGGTACTTAATGATATAGTATCAAGATACCAGAAACTATTTCCAGACTGTTTACTCAGAACTAAGAACATACAAGACTTCAGATTAAGGTTTAATGAATCATATTTATACATCCCATTTACCAGCAATACAGGCAAAAAAAAAGGGAAACATCATCTTGTTCATGTAAACACAAGTATACGAAGAGTCGACACATTCTTTATGTCCAAGGCATCTAATTATGAGGGACTTGTCCTGCGAATGCTACAACAAAGGGAACTCGGTACTTAGATGCCAGGATCACAACAGAGGAATCGAGCCAGAGAACCAGTGTCACCTTGCTATTCACGGGGGCAACGAGCCGGGTCTGCAGGCCACAGAAGGGGACGCGCGCCAGGTTCAGCCCGGAGGGCAGCGGGGTCTGGCTGGGGCGGGGCAGGGGAACGCGAAGATAAATGGGCTCTCGCCAAACCAGCATCAAAGCAGCCAGGCTGTCGTCTCGCCTCGTACTCCAGCACCGCCCCCTCCACTGTCTGGCAGACCTCTTCCACCCCCGCCCCATGCAAGGGCCCTGCCACCCCCGGACTCCCGCTGTCACCCCCTTACCCAGACTCTTTTCTACCCCCTTTCCCTGACAGCCCCCCACAGCCCCGCTCCCATCCCCCCACGGCTTGCTCCCTCCCAGTCACTCTCCTCCCCCAGTGCCTTCCAGCACTTGATCTCGGGAGCTGCCGGCCGGACCTCCCCAGACTGGGAGTCTCCCCAGGTAGCCCGGCCTACCCCGGCACGGTCGGCACCAAGCCCGGGGCTGCTCCCCCCGACGCCACCGGGAACCCACCTGAGGGGAGTCCGGGACCCCCGGACGCGCAGCTACGGATGGGAGGGACGCAAAATGGCGGCGGGTCCCTGGCCTAGGGATAGGGGGGTCCAGCTCGGCGTCTGCCCCAGCCCTACGGCTCCGCTTCTGGCGGCTCCGGCTCCCTGACTGCGGTTGTCAAGCGCCTCTGCCAATCCGGGCCCGGCAGCGCCGCTCCTCTGGCTCCTCCCCTGCCCGCGCCGGGGCGGGGTGACGGCGCAGCCGCCGGAATGGAAACGGGAGATAGGGAGGGGCGGCTGCTCCCGGGGGTGGAGAGAGGGGGGTGCCCTGCCCGCCTGCCCCCGGCCGGAGGGAGTTCTGAGGCGGGGCTGAGGCTGCTGGGAGGGACCCCGGGACTTTGTGACACCCGCTGCTGGCCGCCCGGAACCGACGGGGAAGGGCGGAAAGAAGCGAGAGGGGGGCGAGGCGGCCCCGCTGCTGGCGGGGGAGGGGAGTGCCTGGCCCCAGGAGCACTGGTGCCGCGGGTGGAAACGCGAGCTCGCCTGCGAGGCAGCTGCAAAAGCGGTTCCCGATTAGGGCGACGCCGAAGAGAAAGTTCTTGTGAAGCGGTCGCTGGGCTTGGGCAGGGCTGGGAGATGTGCGCAGCCACCGCAACCAGCCCTGGCAAGCCCAGCGGGGGCTCCTACCTGTTAATAAAGGACATCGCCGCTGACTCCCCCTGGGGAAATGACTGTGTCTGCCTACGCTTCACCACCTAGGTTCATTTTCCTGAATGGTTTGTGCCCCCTTTGCTCTGCCTAGAGTCCGATCTGCTACACAGTTCACCTGCCCTCCTCCCGCACAAGTCAGCATCTCCGTGTCTCCGTCAGTATGTCTCATTCTCTGCCCTAGTCTGGCTGAGCATCTCCCGAGCCGGTTTAATTGAGATTAAACTTGTTGGTAGGAGTCGTGGGAGGCTTCACTGTATCAGGAAGAGAAGCGGGTCTGCAGAGAGGCTTTTGTTGCTACAGTACTGGACTGAGGCTTAGATCTGGATCCTGGCGATAGCTATAAGATGTAGGTTTGGGCTAGTCAGTCTGTCTGTGCCTCACTTTCCCATCTATAAAATAGTGGTGAAAATGTTTCCTGCCTCAGAGGGTTGTGGTATGGATAACTTCGTGTTTATGAGGTGCTCAGGTATATGGTGAATCTCATAGAAAAGTATATAAATAATCTAGCAGCCACTGCCAGCCAGGAACAGAAGATTCCTCCCATGTCATAGCCACTGCAATCAGCAAAGGGAAGGTAGATCACACATAATGAGATATCTTGCTCATAATTATGAAGTTGCTATCACATGCATTTGTTATGGTCTTCTTTTAAAGTATCCTGTTATAAGACCAGAAAAGTGTCAAAAGAGGGTAGAGTGAAAGAAAAGGACTTCTTAAGGTTGGACATCTTAGCTAACTCTCCTTAAATATTCAGTGAATTGACTAACAGTCAATCTATGGATGTAAATTGTTAGCAAAGCATAGCGATTTCTACATAGAATACTGTTCTTTTAAGCAGTGTTAGCCTGGAGGCAATGCACAGCAATAAGGATGAGGGCAAGACCCGTGGCATAAGCAAACTGCAATAAGGGATTGACAAAGAAGATAGATTTCATGGCAAGTGACTGCCACAAAAGCTCAACATTAATCGACTTTGATTTTTGTGCTGCATGTCACCATAGTTTTTTTTTCACTGTCTATATATGGAGAGTAAATATATATACACCAAGGCTATGTCTACACTGGCAGGTTCTTGCGCAAGAAAGGCCGTTCTTCCACAGAGCATCCACACTGCCTGCCCTTGCGCAAGAAGATTTACAGTAAAGCATGATAGGAAAGGGCTTCTTTTGCAAGAGCTATGCTCTTTTATAACAAGTGTAAGCTCACTTGTGCAAGAGCTCTTGAGCAAGAGGGCAGTGTGGATGGGTGCAGGGATTCTTGCGCAAGGAAGCCTTATGGCTAAAATGGCCATCAGAGCTTTCTTGCTCAAGAGAGCGTCCACACTGCCATGGATGCTCTTGCACAAAAGCACATGGCAGCGTGGACGTGTTCTTGCGCAAGAACCCGCCAGTGTAGACATAACCCAGGAGTATGTGTATGCTTCCAAATATACATTATGCAAATCTAGTCCTTACTAGTTTTAATATTGCATGGGGGATATGTAAAGTATTGTCAACTGCATAGTGAGTTCCTAGACCTCTCTGCCATCACAATAAGAGATTGGGAATCATTTGGCTTTTCCAGAAGAGAACAGTGCTTCTATCTACGATATGCAGGGTTGGGAACTGTAGCTAGCAAGCCCTATGCCTTTTTTAAAGTTATGGAGCACTAGTGGACAAGTCCTTTAGTTGACATCCCACCTCCTTTGTACTTACTGTTGTACTAACTAGAAGAATAATGGCTGCATGCACGTGCAGGGAAGATGGGAATTATGATGCACTCTATGTGCCCTGTATCAGAGGGGTAGCCGTGTTAGTCTGAATCTGCAAAAGCGGCGAGGAGTCCTGTGGCACCTTATAGACTAACAGAAGTGTTGGAACATCAATGCTACAACACTTCTGTTAGTCTAGAAGGTGCCACAGGACTCCTCGCTGCTCTATGTACCCTGGTTTTCCAGAGACCCCTAGATAAGGGCTTCATAAAAATGTACCTTGAAACCTTTGTTTTTTTACTATATGACTATTTAATCTTTTTGTGGTTTGTCTATATTACTATAACACTGTATGTATAATACTTATAAATCTCTCTAAAGCTACTTAAATAATCTACAATTAATACAGAACAGATGCACTTGTTTCCCTTGTGATAATGCATTATGAACGCCAAACTGTACGCACACCCTGTCATGCTCATGTTTTCCTTGCTTATGCAGTGGAGACTTATGGCTTGTTGGCAACATATTTAATTACTAGATGTGAGCCTCCCTGCTTCCAGTTTAGTCTTGGATCTTTGTTCTAGTGTCTTCTCACATTTTCCTGTGTCTTACAGCAAATGTGGTTTGCCTTTAATTATAACTGTGCCTTAAAATGTCAAACTGAGGCAGGCCACTTCATTCTTGAGCCTTTTAATTGGATGAAATAAATGTTTCCATTTATTAAATATTTTCATTTTCTGGTGCCTATTATATTTCAGTTTCTTATTAAATGAATCGGTTACGTGAGATGGAGTGCTTTGGATTATTCAGTGCAGCATTTGAAAAAACCCCCCACCAATACCACATGGACAGTAATAGATAGTTCTCACTTCTGATATTTACAAAACAGGTATGTATGATGACTTGGTGGTAAAGGGAGTAGAAAAATGGGAAAATGTGACCATCTAAAGATTCCATTGAAGTATTAGAAGGATTACTTTTGATTTCAGTACAGCAGTATTGGGATCTCTTGGGGGAACCAAATTCTAAGATATGTTCAATACCTCTAAGGGTCACACCCTGAAGAAACAATTTATTTCTGTTTTATCTAGAAACAGACAAAATGTACAAGAAAAATATTAAGTCTTTCGACCTTCTTAACCTGTTCTCTTTATTTTCTAGAAAGGAATACATACAAGGATGCCAAACTCTTTGTCCTGAGAAGTATGATGCAGACAATGCAATTGAAAGGATGAGTACACAATTTTCAGATCCTAGAAGGAAGCCCTTTAGCATGATTACAGTTCTTATATCACATTACATGTAACTTGACTCTCAGGTAAGACAATGAATGCCTCAATTTACATGTAAAACTATCATTTCAATTCAGAGCTCTTTCCTTTCTTATCGGAATGAATGGGCATTATGAATTCTTATCAGAAAATATTATTTTTAAAATAATTAAATGTACCATTAAAAAAATGTAAATATTCCACAATACATCAGCAGTTTGATGGTACATAAAGAAACAAAGTGGCTATAAACAAATGGGAACTGAACCTATTAAGTTTTACTGCCCAAATTGAGAAAAATGCAAAAAGCTATCTATCAGCAAACATTTTGAAAGTCGATTAGATTTAAAAGTTTAGTAGAAATTTATATATGAAATAAAGGAAAAGTATGTCTTGATGTTTTTATTTTGGCTAATCTAGAGATGGACAAACTCTAGAGGTCTTCAAGTCCAGTCTCCTGCACTGGTGGCAGAATCAAGCACTATTTAGGCCATCCCTGACAGGTGTTTGTCTAACCTGCTTTAAACAAATTTCAGTTATGGAGATACCACAACATTGCTACGCAGCTTATTCCAGTACTTAACCACCCTGATAGGAAGTTTTTCCTAGTGTCCAATCTCTCATGCTGAATTTAAGCCCATTGTTTCATGTCCTATCCTCAGAGGTTAAGGATAATAATTTCTCTCTCTCTCCTCGTTGTAACAGCTTTTAGATACTTGAATACTATCATCATGTCACCTCTCAGTCTTTTCTTTTCCAGACTAAACAAACCTAATTCTTTCAGTCTTCCCTCATAGGTCATGTTTTCTAAAACTTTAATAATTTTTGTTGCTCTTCTCTGGGCCTTCTCCAATTTTCTTTCCTGAAATGTGGTGCCTAGTGTGATGGTTCTCCACCCCATGCTTTATGAAATTGGCTTATGAATATAATATACATACATCAAAGATGTTATGGACAAATTACCTCATATAATCTATCGATTTTAATGTTAGTCAGCTGGATCTGCATATCTTATTTTGGTGCATGTATCATTCTTGTGTGAATAGTTAGAAATATGAAATTGTTTATGGTTTGAAATGTGCTAATGAGAGCCATCAATAGTGTTCTGGAAGCCTTAATGACTGGGTGATCTATTTAATGACTTTTAAATAGCCTTGTTTATCCTTTAAGTCTAAGCTGTGGTTGATCCTAGGAAGACACGTGGCTCCCATGCCATCTTGTAATGGGATGCCTGTTTGACCAGTTAATTTTTCATGGAAGAGAGGGATGTAGATTCCCACCCAAGAAAAAGTCTGCTTAAGCAATGGGAAGCTATCAGTTCCTTTGTGTTTGGCAGGCTGGGTAACAAAGACAACTGGAGACCCAAGTCAGAGTAAAAGATCATCTTTTACTTGAAGGCTTTATAGTAAGATTTAGTGTATTAGAACTAGCTGGCTGCATCTAGACTGGCATGATTTGGCAAGATTTTACGCAAAAGCAGTTGCTTTTGTGCAAAATCTCACTGCCTGTCTAGACTGGCCGCGAGTATTTGCACAAGAACACTGACTTTGTACTGTACAAAATCAGTGGTTCTTGCGCAAATACTCCAACGCTCCCGCTCAGCGATAAGCCCTCTTGCGCAAGTATTCTTGCGCAAGAGGGCCAGTGTAGACAGACAAGTTGATTTTTTGCGCAAGAAAGCCCGATGGCTAAAATGGCCGTCGGCGCTTTCTTGTGCAAGAGAGTATCTACACTGGCACAGATGCTTTTGCACAAAAGATGTCTTTTGCGCAAACGCATCCGTGCCAGTATAGACGCTCTCTTGCGCCAATACTTTTAACGGAAACACTTTTCCGTTAAAAGTATTTGCACAAAATCATGCCAGTCTAGATGCAGCCGCTATGTGTTTTATTTTCATTTTAATTCTGTAATTTACTTTTTGTCTATTTTCACCTGCAACCACTTAAATCTTACTCTTTGTACTTAATAAAAACTTTTTGTTACTATCAATCCCAGTGTAAATAACTGTTACCTAGGGGAACAATCAGTGTGCACACACACCCTTCTTTCATTGATAAAGGGGGCTTGCCTGAATCAGCATTCATTGTGTAAAACTCTTACACAGAGAAAGATGTATTTATTTGGGGGGTTTGATCCCATTTGGTGGTTGGTTTCTAGAGCTGTACTCTAGAACTTCAGTCTCCCAGAGCTGAAGTGGTTCACCATCTTCATTGCTCTTCAGGGTAGTGGGAGGGCGATGACTCCAGTTCTGTGCCTTGTCTGGGAGAGACCTGAGAATCTGTCCCAGCAGGACAGGATGATGGGGAGCCCCAGAGAGCAAGAAAGTGAGTGTCAGTTGCATAATCAGCACACCAGGAAACAGTCCCAAGGAGTCTTCTGAGATTGCACTCCATCACACCTAGAACTGGACACAGTACTCCAGTTGAGTCCTAATCAGTGTAGAATAGAGCAGAAAAATTTCTTCTCATGTCTTGCTCACAACAATCTTTGATTTTTTTTTTTGCAACAGTGTTACACTGTTGTCTCACATGTAGCTTATGGCCCACTATTACTCCTAGATCTCTTTCTGCAGTACTCCTTCCTTGACGGTCGCTTCCCATTCTGTATGTGTGAAATGGATTGTTTCGTCCTAAGTGGAGAACTTTGCATTTGTCCTTAATGAATTTCATGTTTTTTTACCTTAGACCATTTTTCCAGTTTGTCCAGATCATTTAGAATTTTCATTTGATCTGGAAAGCACTTTGAATCCCTTTTAGCTAGTATGTGGATATCGTCCACATACTTCATGGGTGTATTTTCTATGCTATTATCTAATTATCATTGATGAGGATATTGAACAGAATGAGTCCCAAAACTGATCCCTGTGAATCCTTCCAGGATGACTGTGGACTATTGATAACTACTATCAAGGAATGGTTATCCATCTAGATTGTATTTCCCTAGTTTGTCAATAGGAAATGGAAACTGTATGGAGGGCTGTGAATGCTCATGAGATTGGGGTTGGGGTGTGGGAGTGGGGGAGGACTCTGGCCTTCAGGCTCTTTGGTGGGGCCAGAAATGAGGAGTTCAGGGTGTGGGAGGATGCTTTGGTTTGGGTTGCAGCTTGGAATGCAGCTTGTGCCTGTGTGTGAGTATTCTGGTGGGGATGCAGGCTGTGGGGTGGGGCCAGGAATGAGGAGTATGTGTGCAGTAGGGCGCTCTGGGCTGGGACTGAGGAGTTTGGGGGGCGAGAAAGGAATCAGAGCTGGGGTGGAGGTTGGGGCACAGTGGGGGGAACTCAGGGATGCAGGTTCTGAGCTGTGCTTACTTCCTCAATCAGCTCCCAGAAACAGTAGCATGTCCTCCCTCCCTCCGGCTTTGTGGAGGCACTGCCCTGAGGCTCTGCTCACTGCCCCATCTGCAGGTGCCACTCCCACAGTTCTCATTAGCCATGGTTCCCAAGCAATGGGAGCTGCAGAGGCGGTACCTGGGATAGTGGCAGTGCATGGAGTCCTCTGGCTGCCCTTATGTATAGGAGTCTGAGGGGGAGGGGTCCTGCTGTTGCTTCTGGAAGCTGTGTGGAGCCATGGCACATGTGGACTAGGGATGTGAATGGTTAATCCATTAACATTTATGGGTGATGCTTACCAATTCCGGTTAACTGGTGGAACCTGGAGCAGCTTCCTGCTCACTGTGGGCAGGGGGCAGCTCCAGTCTCACAGGGCTTGCTGTGGGCAGGGGGTGCCCCACTGGAGTAGCCCGTCAACAGTGGGGGTGTGTGTGCTCCAGCTGGGCTTGGAGGCCCCCCCCCCTCTCTCCCCCCCC